CGCTCTACTTTGAATAGAAATTATTTTATGGCAATGTTGTGCAATTATAAAATCTTTTATGTACATTTTAAGCGGAACTAAATCTTAAACCTTACAGATAACAAATCATTAACACCATCAAAAATTACAAATAGTCTATTTATTATATCGACGGTAATCAATAAAAATCTAGTTTCTCCATCTGCTTTTATAAACCACATAACTTCGGTCTCTGAGCCTTTCAGTTGACAGAATGACTAACTCCTATTTCAAAAGTTTTGAATAATGTCTTTTTAGTGATATTTCTAGTTGGAAAAGTTATATTTATACAGATAGTTAGTTGCTTCCAGAGTAGGTGATTGCAGTGATGAAATATAGAACTGTGAATAAAGGTATAAATTTTGCCACTAGAAACATCACTAAAATTAATAATAAACAATGTTGAAATTGGAGTTAGTCATTCTGTCAACCGAAAGCCTCATATATGCCTAGAGACATTTGAAAGTACATCTGAATATTTAACCTACAAAAGATTATGGATTGTAGGACTATTAGTTATTAAACTGTTATTTTCCATTCGAGAACCCTAACAAAATACAGTAAATATATTTAAGGTTATAAACATATCTATGAAATTTTATATTTTACTACTTCTTTCACACAAGTACAATGAAATAGTATTTTAAACAAGGCATTGCCATGATTCGGTGGATTTTAAATAATTTTTTCTCAAACTCAGAAAAAAATTTAAAAGTTTACACTTAGTAAGACAGTTTCATTGAAAACACGTGATTTATGTTAGTTAATGATGTTAGTTTCCTAAAATTATTATTTACATTTTTTTCGTCCCTCTGCTTTGCCTTCTACGACTTTATTTATTTAATATTATTTTTTCTAAAATTCTCCACTTTTCAACGATATATTATACGTATACCTTCTGACTGTTATTTCCGGAGATTCATTTTTAACCTGGATAAGCATTTTCTCCAGTTTCCAATTATCATATTCTTTCAAACTTCATATTTAACCATTTTTAAAAGCTATTATAGTTATTGTCCATAAAAGAGAGTTCTTTTTTTAAATAAACCATATTAAAGGTACTTTAGAGGAAAATGTATATGGAACATTGGGCATTTAAGCCCTGTAAAGTGACATCAATGGGAGTAAGACTTGATTGATATTTAAGACCACTTCATTAACAATGATACACCGAGTTTAATCAAAATTGTTAGAGCCGCTTTTGAAACAAATATAAAACTGTGTTTCAGCGTTGATATAAAGTGGCACTTCCGGTTAGTCGATTTTAAGGAAAAAGTTGCTATAACATCTAAGGTATATACCTATCTTAAATACGTAATATCAGTTTTGTACGAATTTTCGTTTTTGAGCTAGACTTTATTTCAAACTGCTTAATTATACACTGATATGATGAAATTAATCAAAATAGTTAGATCCGTTTTCGATAAAGTTGTAAAAATGTGCTTAGTCCACTTCCGGGTAGCCGATTTTGAAGGAAAAGTTGCTGTAATATCCCTAGTATATAAAAACCTTAAATATGCAACTTCGCTTTCGTACGACTTTTCGTTTTTGAGCTAGACTGTTCACATACATACACACACAAAGAGCGTTTTGCGGGAGTTGGACATAGGAGACTTCAAAACATGTATTTCCATTGAAAACTCAGATTCGTAAATTTTCATGATCGCAATACTTACCCTTACTATATAATTCATATATAGGTAAGTAAAAATAAATATCGGGAATAATTTATAATTATTTCAAAAACAGAACTTAGCTTAGTTTAGCTGCTCAAAAGTCCTCTTTAAATGGTTTGGACAATGGCAAACTCTATCTTCATTTGAAGTAAATTTTGTCTAGTTCACAGTGAAGTAATTGTTGATTACTTAAACTAAATATTTCTTTAGTTATCGCTTCCTATTCAACAAAAAGTTCGAATTTTTGTAGCTCTTAAGGTTTGCTATCACTCCTTTAAAAATTTACCTTCAATTGCAACTTAAGGGACACCCTATATAATTATTATTCCTCATTTTTCAACAAATCTTGTTATAACCTATTATCCCAATAATAATAACAGTACCCTCTCCCCCTCCCCCCGCCCGAATTTGAACAGTTATGGTTTGTCAATGTCGACATTGAATTCCTAAATTTGAGAAAGTTTACTATCGTTGTAGATAAATCAGAGAACCACCCTTCACTGACCAGGCTCGCTGACATCCTTCCGGAAGGGCCTCCACGTTTGTCCCACAAGTTGATGTATCGAGGGAATTTTGCGCTCAGATAAGCTTTTTAAGGGAAAAAGGTCAAATATAAACACCCAACAGTCATTAAAAAAAAAATTAAATAAAAAACCAAAGTAAATTCTCAGGAATGGATTGGATTGTTTCTCCTTCACCTTATTAACATACTTTTCAAAACGACTACCGCCTACCGCTCCAATAATTGGGTCATTATCTTCAAGGAAAAAGCTCCAAATTCTCAGGACGAAATTCAAACGGAGTTGCGAAATTCTTCCGTTCAAAACCCAAAGAGTATGAATACTAATGTGAGGAAATCAGATAACCTTGAGATGGTAACTATTGATAAGAACACTCAATTATATAATTTAAAAAATGATAAATAAAAACATTTTCTTCGAATAAAGATAATTAAAAATTAGCAAAAAAAAAAAAAACAGTAATTTTTTATGATTCGTTTTATTATAATAATGTTTTTTTTGTCTTTAATTCTTCATCCGCACCTGTCATGGTAGTGACAATTAGCAGAATTATAATAACTAATAACTAAATAATAATAATAACTAAATAATTGTGAACAAAGTATATACGGATTTTTCATAATTTAACTTAAATAAAAAAATAAGTTGGAGGTGCGGTCAAACATGTAAAAGGTACACAAGCAAAAAGCTTTTTTTATTTATTTTGACTGCACACTCAACTAATTACCACTAATTGGTCTACTATAAATAATTAATTTATTTCCACAACTGCAAAAATAATAATAATACAATACAGAAACTGAAAATTATATATCATGTTTGTAAAATGATATCAACAAGGCTACTACCAAAAAAGTTTTTTTTAAAGTAGAGGATAAACACTAACGTTAAAAAATAGTAATAGTAATAATTTTAAAAAAGGATAGATTTTGATTTAACACACCGAAAATCCTATATGTAATTAATATCATATAAATAAGAAACAATAATTTATTTTAGTGCAGATAGTTTCCAAACATTTGAAGCAAGAAAATTACGTTTCAGTTTGAAGCTCCGTATCTCGTTTTCAGTAGAAGAGATTTTGACGTCTCTAAACCGGAACTACACCCGCAAGTCCAGTTTTTGGAAGAAATTATTATCAACAGCAGACATCTTCTTTTGACCAAATTACAGGCAGTGTATTTAGACAAAGGACGTCTTCAAGTAGCAATTTCTGAACAAGTGATGAATTCTTACTTAAAGGTGCACCTGTTTTAGGAAGCTCATCAGCTCAAGGAAATATATTTCAATCTAGCGAAACTAACAATATAATCGGTGCTGCAGATCAAAAAATATACGAAAATTAGTTAGACGTGGTTTGAATAATATAAGTCTAAAATTACTTAAAGAAAAAAAATACTACAGATATTTTTAATAGAAAATTAAAGTTGATGAAAAAGTATGGAAGATAGAACTTTAAAAAAATAAAAATAAAAACAACTCCTGTAAATTTAATCTTTGATAAATCTCTTGATATAATATTTTGGGTTCGATAAAATGTAAAATAAATTAAAGTAATTCAATGTCGATAAATAAATTATCGACGGTAGACAATGGAAAGCTCCACATGTGTAATATTTTACCTAGGAAAAAAAATAAGTGTTTAAAATATGTATAATGTGTTACAGGATTCACTACATAATACAATTCTGATATTTACTTATATATTAGAAATATCTATGTACTGAAATTCACAAATTTGATGTATAAGAAGTAGTTAACTAAATGAACTTTAAACACGTTTTGCAATAGTTAAATTTTGGCATAAAATAATTTCTGCTCAAATTAGAGAGTTAACTGAAAGTTGTATGATGCGAGTACCAGATTTTTTGTTATGATATTACAGCATAATCTTTATCCATTCATTTTTTGTAAATTAATTTAGGCGGACGGCTTGTTTTGCGAAGACATTTCTTCTAATAAAAAATTCTAATTCTTTGTTAAGACAATTCCAAACCATCGCAGAAGATTTTCCTCAAGAGTTCCATGTAATATTCTTAGGCCGAGGTTGTTCCTTATCGTGGTGTATCTCACTCCGTCTCTGCGAGTTTTTCCTTCAGGAAGAATCACATTTCCAAGGCTTGGAGCTGGCTGAGTTGGGTCCATGACCCACTGCAATAAGTTAGGATTGGCAGAAAAGTCTTGTATCCTACCTTCTTCGCATCTTTCGAGACTTTGGGCCTTCCGACAAAGGAATTTGGTGAGACATTAAATAACCTATCTGCCGCAGATATTCTCTTCCACATTTTCCAGTCTATGATGCCTCGCTCATGTTTATGTGCTCCAAGGTATTTCAATATTTTCACTCTCTCCTTCTAGCTTCATTACTCGCTTGGGTTTTGGGAGGATTTTTCCTGTTCTCATCACCTTTGACTTTTCAGGGCTTATTTTCATATTAATATGGGCGAGTTCTTCTTGTAGAATCCTAAGGTTGAACCGAAGGTCTCTTCCATTCCTTTCAAATACCTTCTATATCATCTGCGAAGATAGACCATGCAAGCGGTTTCTAAGTTTAAAATAAATATTTACTAAAAAAACTAATTGGCACTGCAAAACACAAAATTATGAATAAGTAGCACTAATTGGTCAAAATTGTATTTAATCAATGAGATTTTTTTTTAGTTTTAATGTTTTTTTTTTCAGGAATATTTAGTATTTATTAAAGATGAGGTATTTTACAAATAAAATCTTCTATTATTTATAAGAATCACTCAAGGTTCTTGTACTTCAAAAAAATAAATACATCTCACATTTAATTTTATAATTTAAAAAATTACATCTATTAAGTAAATAGTATGATAAAACAAAATGTAAATAAAATTAGTGTCATTTAAGGTAATATTTCAGGTGTAATCTGATTTATCATGAGTGGTCCAGTGGGAATACAACAACGGGATCATTCAGCTTGGGGTTGTCTAGATATATACTCCATGTTCGGGCCAGAAAGTCAAACACACCTGTTAAATAAATAAAAACATGGTATAAATAATGTTAGTCATATTTCTGAAAATTAGTTTAATATATATATATTTGTATTTAAGATATGAATATAAATTATAGTATATATATAAATTATATGTATGTATATCATTTATATCATATGTATTGAAGATATGAACATAAATTATATGTAGATATATATATAAAACTATCCTCGGAAGCAAATAAGAAGATATTGAAAAACTAGCTCGGTCTCCATTAAGAGAAGCAGTGTAAATCGGGCTACAAGTCAATGAAGATAAAACAAAATATAGGATAGTTAGCCGAAATATCAATGCTAATCTGAGTGGACTTTGAATCATTCCTCAAGGTAGGTAGATTCAAATACCTCCACAATAACCATAATTAATGGTCAACTAACAGAGATAGACCAGCCAATAACAAATAAAATAAAAATCTCCAGAAATCTCAAACTAAGGGTGCCAGTTCTGATGTACGGCTGTGAAACCTAAAAAGCAGAATTGAGAGAATCGAAAGAAAAGTCCTCCGATAACAGGATCTATCTGGGATCAGAACCTTAACACATGGAGGAGAAGGAAGCAATGAAGAACTGCTAAAAGAAACTGGTCAGTCAATATCTCATGATATGAAGGGAAGGAGGTTATGATGGGTGGAGCATGCAGCACGACGCAATCCATTATGACGCCTTTACACACCAATGAATGCCAGACTAGTAGGCAAGAGACCACATGGGAGGCCAGAAACCAGATGGATAGATATTATTAACAAAGATACGGCTGAGCTTCAAACTGGAAAGCAGTAGCCCAAGATAGGTAGAGGTGCAGAAGTCTGGTTCTGGCGGTCAAAGATCTACAAGGTCTGTAGAGCGAACCGAAAAAAAAAAACAGAAAAAAAACATATATATATCATGTTATATGTTATGTATTATACATATATATATTTGTATTGGTTTGGCAAATATGCTCTTTCGGTTTTTCTGTTTATTTTATGCTACTACCGTACTCTTCTTATTTGATGCAATCCCTAAGATGGATTGTTTACCCTATTTGTTGTATGTTAACAACTTGTTCAGTAAACTCTTGTTAAAATAAGATTAGTATTGTGTTTACTATTACACTGTGAATAAAAGAGAAAATATCATTTATTAACGCCATATTTTGCTGTACAATTTTAAAAAGATAATCTCATAAAAAAAATCTGGTGCGTGCATCACACAACTTTCATTTCCCATCCTTTTTTCATCCGAAGTAGGTATATTCAGGCAAAGGTAAGTGAAAGTAAAAATTACATACAGTACAAAATATTTCAAACAATTAATTAAAGCCGTCTTTTAAATTTATGCTTTTTTTGTGTCTAACCAATTCTTTTTACGACTATATATTTTAATTATTTATTTGATTATAATAAATAATTAAGTAACATAAAATATTTTTATTCCAACAAGAGTACCACTGATAAAGAAGAAATATTTATTCATATTTCATTGGAGGTATTTTTATTTGTTTTCATTGGTAATACAAACACATTATAATATATAATTATAATTAAATAAAAATAGCAAATAAAATTAAATAAAAAATAAATAAAAGTAATATCAACAGGTATTAATGGAAATCGCACATTTATATGTAATTATAAAGTTAACACTGTCTGCCTCGAAATCTTCAGAACACAATTTATCCCGACTCAATTCGTCGAGTTTTAAATCATATCGGGATTTAAACCTTTCTACTTTTTCCATTGACTTTTATAGTTAGGTTTAGGTAAGGTTTATACATAGGTTCAGGCAGTAATAATTAGCTTTTATTAACGTTTTAACAGTTAATTGATTTTACATTTTAACTCATTTTAGGAAATTATTTTATAGATTTTAACCTTTTTAGATTTTAACCTTTTTAGACTTTGACTTTTTAACTTTTTTTTAGATTTTAACTTTTTAACTTTCTTAGATTTTAACTTTTTTAGATTTTAACTTTCACTTATTTTTAACTTGTACTTAAATTTTAACTTTAAACTTTTTACTGATTTTATATTGTAACTTATTTATAAGCAATTTATTTGATAGATGTATATTTTTTTTTTAAGCTTTTATCGATTTTATATTTTAACTATAACACTATTTAACACTTAATTTTATAGTTTTTAACTTTGTATTTATTTATTTATTTAATTAAGCACAAATTGTTTCAATCATGCGCGTGGTGGGCATAGTCTAGAACGAAAAAAAAAAATATTGCAATGAACAAAATACCAACGAAGAAGATCGAAGTTGGACAAAAGGTATGGGTTCTGAGAACTGGAGGACCTGTTCAAGAGGCGGTTGTTGCCTCTGTGATGTCTGTGGCTACTGCAGGAGGCGGAGATAATAAATTTGTTAAAGTGGAATGGCCTGACACAGAAGGTGTGGTATTGGGAAAGACGGTGTCGATAGATGATGTCTTTCCCAGATTGCCAAATGATCCGCTGAATGTCGCAGAGGTACTTAGTGAGCGGCAAAATGAAGCTCTACGCCCTGATGATAAAGTTTGTCCGATATGCGGGCTTTCTTTTAAGGGCGAACGAGGTCTCGGAACCCACATTGCAAAAAAACATCCCAGGGAGGCGAATAATAATACATTGAGGGGCATAGTAAAGAACGTGATAGGTCCTAGAAATGGAGAGGGTGAGTCATCAAAAATAAAAGTGGACATTGTTGAATGGTCTACTACGTTCAAGAACCTTTTAAAGCAAGAAATGGTGAATACTGCGGATTTTGATGAGGCCGTAGGCAAGTTCCTAAAGTTCCTCAAAGTCATTAATGCGGAACTGCCAGGTCCCCAGCACCCAGCCGTAAAATTTTATAGGATGAGGAAAAAAAATAAAATGAAAATGTCTGACAAGGGTGCTGGACAAGTCTCAAATCCGCAGAGGGCAAACAAAGTAGACAGGAGTCGTCGGCAAGAGCAGTATCAGTACGAGGTTGCCCAATATAATTATTATAATAAAAGAAAAAAGGTTGTGCAAACTGTAATGAATGCCGACGCTCCTAAACGGTGTCCTCTAAAAATGGCCGAAATCGAGAGGCATTATAAAGACCTCTTTGAGAACGAAAATCTCTGCGGGCGTGCGGATTACGAACAGTGTGCCCCGATGCCGGATTTGCTGTCCATTGAGATAGAAGCTATCAGGAAAGCCATTAAATCAACATCAATGGACACATCGCCGGGGCCTGATGGAGTTCTGATCCGCACAATAAAATATTTTGACGTATCAAGCATTATTAAAACGATTGCAGAGATAATGCTGAAGGTGGCCTATGTTCCGGAACCACTTCGACAAGGGCGCACAATATTGATATATAAGGGCAAAGGTGATATAAACAATATCTCTACCTGGAGACCGATCACCATATACTCGATTGTGCGCCGAATCATAGAGAAGGTTCTGGACTACGAGTTAAGAAAGCAGGTCACCTTCCACAAGAGTCAGAGAGGCTTTATAAAAGGCCTCCCGGGAACGCACGTCAACGCGAGGATCATCGACGCGGTATTAAAAGATGCACAAAAAATGAAAAATGACTGTGCGATAGTTTTCCTCGACGTTGTCGGTGCTTTTGACAATGTTGGGCACAAACACATCGTAAGCTCCTTAGAAGCGAGAGGTGTGTCACCGAATCTTACAAATGTCATATCAGCTCTCCTTAGCACGAACACCATAAAGATTGGCAACGGTGTCCATGCAACTAGCCAGATCAAAGTGCTGCGCGGTGTACCCCAAGGTGGCCCCCTGTCGTCTTCACTCTTCAACCTGGCCATCGATCATCTCTACCGCGACCTGTGTGACGAGGACTTTTCCAAGAAATTTGGATACAAATTAAGGAATGAGCAAGATTGTGTGGTCCTCACAGGTTTCGCGGATGACCAGGCAGTGTCGGCGCGTGACAAGGGGGCTGCAGAAAGAGTGATTGACAGCATACAAAGAACATTTAAAGAAATTGGTCTGGCTATAAATCCTCTAAAAAGTATGGGCATCGTTATAAATAAAGGAGAGCTGGAAACTACGGTGCTCTCCCTTGAGAATGGTGAGTACATCCAAACATTGAAGAATGGAGATACGATTAAGTATTTAGGATGTACATTCTCGGGAGAGCTGCAATTCAACGAAGATTCGGTGACTAAATTGAATGATAATCTAAACAAGCTGGTAACCTCTTGCTTACTTAAACCTGAGCAGAAACTCAACATTGTCAATCAATATCTGTTCCCGGGTCTTACTTACCCTCTCCAAACTGCGCCCCTAACAAAGCTACGTCCTGCTATACTGGAGGGCATCGACACTATGATTCGCAGGAGCGTAAAGGCCATTATTGGACTCCCTGCGAATACTTCCACAGCGATGTTGTATGCCCCCAGGAGATACCGAGGATTGGGATTAATCCGCTGCCAATGGGAGGCTCCTCTTCAACATTGGTCCATTGCTCAGCGACTGTCCAATGTACCAGATGCCCTTTTTCAGTCTACCTTCGATTATTCGGCTGAAATTGCTGAATGTGCCGAGAGATTGGGGGTTGATCAGGGTCATCGAAATGTGAAAGCTCTACGGCAGTCGCTACGAGAAAATGCATTTGAGGAATGGGCCAACTGCAGGTGGCAGGGTATTGGTGTTCGCCATTTTAAAGAGACCCCGAAAGCGAATAGATACATCTACGAAAAGCAAGTACTTTCTGGGTCTGAATGGTCGAATGCCCTAAAACTAAACATTAATTATGCACCCCTGCGTGGAGTCCCAGGAGTCAGCGGACAGGTCAGAGAAGTTGGGTCCCTCTGCCGTAAATGCGGCAGAGAGTCTGAAACACCAGCACATGTGCTGGGAAAATGCCCCAACAACTCCCTCCTCATAACACGTCGTCACCACCGGGTCAAGTTCGAATTGATGAGGCTCCTTAGGGAAAAAAAATTCACCTGCTTTGACGAGGTATATTGCATCGATAGTGAGGGCTCTACGAGATACGCTGATA